TTTCTATCCCATCAGCCAATATTTTTAATTTTGCAACTGATGCTCGTTTAAAAAACCTTTATGATCAGTTGAATCCCGTAGAATCTGCCTCGTCAGATAATTTAAGCTGAATTCGCTGATACTACACATCAGTTCAGATCGAAGATGAAAACTCACTTTGGCTCCTCGACACTTCAGAACCCTAGAGGAACTACGATGGACATGTGACATCATTGTTTGGCGGATTTCATCATGAGCTGACATCAGTTAGAGAACGATTGGAAAACCTGGGAGTACTGGACAGCCGTCTCGCCCTAGTTTTGGGAATTTTCAGCAGTACGCGCCCATCAGCGTTCAAACCCAGGACCTTCTGATTACAAGGCCAGCTCGCATACTATTCAGCCCAGGAATTCTAACTTCTGCCAAATCATGACATAGCGCGACCACTTCGCAATGTCTTCTTCGGTGAGTTACTGCCTCACCTACAACACCCTACTGGTCACGGCTTCCCACTAGAACCTCAGTTAGCTGCCTGAATAGGGCAGTCGCTAGAGAGCATCAGATGAATTTTCAAGTATTGGTTTTTGTAGGGATTTTGTTTGTTTGATTGGTTGGAAAATTTTATCAAGAGCTGATATCATTTAGGAAACCGCTGAAAATGTGACATAATTATCCTAAATCTTGAAAAATAGATTAAGTGTTTCAGTTAATTTCTTCATTATTTGTAGACAGAAGCCATTTAGTATTCAGATAAAATCAACTGTCAACTTTATTAATGAATTCAACTGGTGCGTCGGTGGCACAGTGGTTAGAACTCTCGCCGACCATGCACATGGTCCGGGGTTCGAGCCCACGCCGGCGCACACCTGATATCTATGGTCGGCCTGCAAAATTTGGGCTACCGATATCCATGCTGAAAATTCCATACTTGTACCAAAAATACAGTGTGGAATCAAGCTGTAAATAAAAAAAATATAACTTGAATTCATTATTTATCTACGCCTACCAGAAATATGTCTTTATTAGTTTTGGTGAATTGTTGCTTTCTCATCAGAATTAGTTGTAACCTCTATGTAAATTAGAGATATCTGCTTTCGTATCACCGCTCAACCTGCCGAATATCCAACACCTCCATGAATGGGATGTATACACAGGTCCTCCGTCCCTAACTGAGGTTACTGGAGCTGTCACTAGTCTGAAACAAGGAAAAGCAGCAGGACCTGATGGAATGACTCCAGAGGTATTTAATTACGGTGGAGACAGTTTACTATCTGCGTTAACTGACGTACTAGGAAGCGTCTGGGAATCAGAGGAAGTCCGTCGGGTTGGTATAAGTCACTGATTATCCCCTTATAAAAGAAGGGAGACAAGTCTTCCTGTGATAATCACAAAGGGATTAGCTTGACTAATATGGTCACTAGAGTCCTAGGCTAAATAATATTGCGTAGATTAAGTGTTGCTCGGGAGACACAAACACTAGAGAACCAGGCAGGCTTTAGACCAGGAAGAGGGTGTATTGATCAAATCTTCACCCCTCGACTGGTTCTAGAACATAGGCACTCTTACCGGCGTCCAACAATCATTATACTTTTTGACCTAAAAGCGGAATTCGATTCTGTCGGCCGAGAGGTATTCTGGTGATGCTTGGCTGTAAAGGGCATCCCGAGAAAATACATTGCACTGATCAGGGCATTCTACTCAAACTCATGCAGCCAGGTGAAGGCTTACGGCGAGTTGTCATCTGAAGTGGTGACGACTGGTTGTGTCCGTCAGGGATGCTCACTATCCCCATTTCTGTTTAATTTTAGCATAGATGTACTGATGGACTTAATCCTAACTCACTTCAGAGACACAGGGATTGACTTACTACCAGGGAATAATCTTGTTGACTTAGAATATGCAGACGATATAGTCATTCTAGACGAGGACGCTGACAAAATGCAGACAAGGTCTTCTGAACACCGTGAGCTGCAATCTGCGAACGTTTGGCATGCGATTAGCTCCCACCAAATGTAAGGTGATGCTACAAGACTGGACCACACTGACTCGTAGTTTAGAAATAGGGAGTGAAGTGGTCGAGCACGTTGACCGCTTCATTTATTTGGGAAGTACCATCAGCCCCAACGGGTTAATCTCTGACGAAATCTAGGTACGGATGCTAAGGGATAGTTTTGCATATGCCAGTTTACGCAGTGTCTGGCGTAGATGTGATATCCGGCTATCGACCAAACGGCGGGTGTACTTCTCAGCAGTCCGCTCCGTCCTCCTTCATGGCTGTGAGACCTGGCCATTGAGAGCGGAAGACATGAAAAGATTAGCAGTCTTTGATCATAGGTGCCTGCGTTCTATTTCCCGTGTGACGTGGTATAATAAGGTGAGTAATATTGAAGTTAGGCGTCGAGTTCTAGGTAAGGAGGGCAAATCAAAAGACAAGGCTGTGAAGTCACGTCGACAGAGATGGTTAGGACATGTGTTACGTATGCCTAGTCATCGCCTTCCTCGACGGGCAATGTTAGCTGACATAGGGTCAGACAGGAAAAGAGGTGGCGGCGGTCAAACCAAAACATGGCACCAGTCAATGAAATCCACAACAGTTAATCTGAGCCAGCCACGTAGGAATGTGTAGACTTCCTGCTTGGGATCCTCGGGACGGTAAAAACCAATGGTTGGAAACAATTGGTGATATGGCTCAAAATTGTTTTCAATGCATAGCGCAGATCCATCCACTCCTTGTGACATATGATTTCCAATGAAACTATATTGTTCTTCGTTATAACTATTCCTTTGTCTCACACCTCTGTTTACTGTCTCTATTATGCATTTCTTCTACTTTCTTTTCTTGCTTTGTTTGCTACATGAAGTGTAGCGACTTGAACTGCTGCACATGGGTGCAAAGTTCTATGTCGAAAACAGGCAGACAAACAGTATCACCGACGGAAATATATATATATATATTGACACCAGGTTGATAAATCTCAAAAACAACATACTCATCCTGTACATTTCGAGGAAAAAAGACAGCGAAGCTATTGGAAATAGTAAATGTCAACATTTTCCGCGTAATCGCCTGGTGTCAATTAGCGAATTTCTGAATTGTGAAATGGATTGGTAAAATGTAAATCAGTATGTTGTTTCATTTCCATAAGGCTTTTCGTTTAAAAGAAATGTGATTGTACTGTGTGAAAAGACAGAGATTGTATAAACCAGCTGGTTAAACAATATTATCCCACATTCAGTTAATAACCGGTGTAGAACAAAGGCATTAGCATACGTGACGGAACTACCTAAAATTGATGTTGGTATAGTATAGTATACTTCGCTACTACGGGGTCCCATCGACAATTATACATCTCATCCAACAGTTATACGACAATGCTGCATGCCAAGTAATCCACAACGGGAAACTTACGGAAGCCTTCGAAGTGAGTGGGGACGGGAGTGAGGCAAGGCTGTCTACTATCACCAATGATCTTCCTGATTGCAATTGATTGGATAATGCGACAGACAACGGCAACCAACGAGGGAACAGGCATAAAATGGACTGACACAAAAGACTTGGAGGATCTGGATTTCGCCGATGATATATGTCTGATTTCCCATAAACTGGAAGATATGCAAGTGAAAAGTAACAAGTTGGCAGAAGAAGCATCAAAGATAGGACTTCAAGTGAACATAGATAAAACAGAGATGATGAAGATTCCTAGCCAACATCAACAGCAACAACAACAACAACAGACAAGAATCAGCATAAATGGGAGGAACCTGAAAGAAACAACCTCCTTTACCTACCTACCGGGAAGCATCGTTTCAACTACAGGCGGACGGAACTGACGAGGATATTAAAGCCAGAATCGGAAAAGCAAGGCAAGCTTTCACTACTCTTAAGTCTGTGTGGAGGTCAACAGCACTCAGCATCAAAAATAAGATCCGGATTTTCAACTCCAATGTGAAGTCAGTGCTACTATACGGATCAGAGACTTGGCGAGTCATAAAGAGCATCTCAAACAAACTTCAAACCTTCATTAACAGCTGTCTCCGCTCAATACTCAAGATCAGATGGCCGGTCAGAAAAGATCAGCAACAGGGATCTCTGGGAGCGAACCAATCAGGAACCGATTGTGAAACAAATAGGCAGAAAGAAATGGAGATGGATTGGCCATACGCTGAGGAAACAAACCATCAAGTGACATCACTAGACAAGCCATTGCTCGAGTGGAACCCGAAAGGGAGGCGGCGAGTTGGTCGTCCAAGGGTGACTTGGAGGAGGTCATGCGAGGAGGAGATGAAAGCATGTGGACAGACCTGGAGCAGGGTGAAAAAGTTGTCAGAAAACCGAAGGCAATGGAGGTGCGCAGCTGAAGCCCTATGTTCCTCTAGGAACTAAAGGATACAATAATAATAATAGTTGTTAATGCAGTCAGTCTTATTTGTAGAAAACGCCTACTTTACATGTGTGAATGTTAGTTTTCGCGTCATCTAATCGTTAATGAAATGTAAGAAAAACAAGATATTTACTCAGTTAAAATGCAGTGCAGTAGGGACTTGTGGTTCATCTCTTCAAAATTAACAGCCCTGATAAGTCATCATCCTTAACTTCACCTTGAAATGTCTTTCACCAGGTTATCGAAAGCTATTATTATTGCAAGCGCTACCAGTCTGTGACAAAAGACAAGACTTAGTAATTCTGCGCTGTAATTGGTTGTTCACACTGATTGCTCATGCATACCAAATAGGTTGATCAGAAAACCAGTTAGACGTACACACACACACAATAAACAATACATTCAAGGTCAACCATGTGCTAAACACGATCTATTGATTGGTTGATAACACAATTTGAGTTACGCATAACTGTATGATGTGTGTGTGCAAAAATCAGAAAGTTATTTATCAAATGTGTTTCATAAAACATAGCACAACTACATAAGGTCTAAGAAATCAAATTAAAACAAAACAAGAATAATAATCATAGATTATATGTTGTAATGCAAGTACAATGATTTACAAACAGTAGGAAACCAATGTCTTCAAATAAAATGCGTCTGGAGCAAAGGAAGCATACTAGTTTATTATCTGAACTGAAAACTGTTCTGTCAACAACTGACAAGAAAATAGAAGTGGGCAAATCTATATTCAGACAGTGAGTAATAAAAAAGTTATTTTAAATGTCTAAAAACATTTATTTACAAATTTGTCCAAATGAATACTGATGTTTTCATTTAATTCAAGAAGTTTTTAGTAGAAGAAAACACATGAGCATATATATATATGTAGAAAGAGAAGTTTGTTTCTCCACTTGTGGAAGTTAGATTAATTTCAACGTAGACTTCGTGAATGACTGATAGTAGTGATTGTGCTTTACTGTGGGATCATATGCCTATAATCATATCTGGCCAAGTTAAACTTTCAGCACTACTAACTGACAATGGAGTGCGACAGCACAATGACCTTGAAACAATTACTGAGCAAGTTAGTGAAACCTGGCAAATTACGTTATGATCATCAATAAAATATGCTAATCGAAGTGTTATGATGTTAAATGGAATGTCAGGCAAGTTACAGCTTAGGTTTGGGAAAGATTAAGTTACGCTTTAAGCAAAGGACAAGTTAGGGTTAGGCTAACCTAATAAAGGCGACATTAGGGTTGGTTCGAGTTGGATTACAGTTAGTTTAGGGATAAGTTTAGGAAAGATAAAGGTTATTGCTAGGGTTAGAAGACCTTAATAATTACATACATACAATGTGGTTGTACACTGTGGTAGAGTAAAATTCCATTGCGAGTAAAATTTATTTTGACAAAACCTCACAGTGTTATCCAGTAATATTTACTGATGACAACGTTTCGAGAACAATTTTTTGTTCAGTAAATTATTGTATAAAACTATGAGACTTTATCAAAATAAAATTTATCCACAATGTAATTACACTCTGTTGATACTCCAACCTAAAGCTGAGAGCTGTGTTTTGTCACATGTAAGAGGAAGGTATCCTCTGTAACACTTTTATACAGATTTTATGCATTTGTTTCATAAATATATGTATCTCATACACAAAAGTTCCTCCTTCACGTGATTGGCGCGTTCGGGGTCATTCGCTAATTGGTAGTTATTGGTGCTTAAAGTTTAACTTTGTCCTATCACTCCTTGCTTTCCAGGGATTTTAGATTGTGTCCTGTATAACGAAATCTGTATTTAAACTATCTTGCTTTATTTTACTAAATAATAATGATGCAAATTTTCCGTAATCTGAAAATGCTTTCTTATACTGAAGTCCTGTTTACAAAATAGACTTCATGTTTGCTTGATGGAATATATATCACTTTGACTTACTTTTAATGACATCCTGAATATCGATTTTTGATGACTCATTTAGGTGATGATTTCTTGTCAAATATGAGTAATCAGTGTCAGTTATTCTTGCTCCTCGTGAAAAAGTATCACGGTAAAGTTTTCACAGCTGCGAACTAGACTTTGATATAGAAATAAGTTTACTTGGATCACGTGGTATATGTATTTAGTAACTTCACTGTCTGTCTAGCCTATCCAATTTGTTGGCTTGTTTCTTTGTGCTGTTTATACTGTCTTTCATGCCACTAACTACACTCATCCTCGAAATCTGTACTTTTGTCGACAATATTTACACACACCATTGAACTGTTTAGTCTTATTTCATCATATGATCTTCTTGACCGTACAAATTCGGAATGACTGACTATTACTGTGTCTTGTACTTGTTCCATAATACCCTTTCTGATGTAATTATGATTTACCTTTACTGGCTATTGTATGCTAAAACTAATGAATTTATAATTGTAGAGCCTGAAGAAAAATTTGCTGGAAACAAGTGTTCGCTCTAATTCTTCTTGTTCTGAATAAATTTGTTTTCGTCGACTTAACTTTCGAACTTCAGTCTGAAATTTCTGTGTCACATAGTTTCTGTAGAGGTATGAATGATAACAGCTTCCCAGTACACTGTAAATAAATCTAAAACCTAGACTATGGTGTACAGAAGTTATCATCCATACTTGCAACTTCACTTAGAAGGCTGATATTGCCAAACCTAACCAGCTCATTTTACAACACAGATTTTTCCCATGAGTCATGGTCATCATTAACGTACTGAACAATCAGCTGATGTGAAACCACTAATTGTGTAATACAACCCCAGAATATTTACTTTAATTGTGAATACTGATGAAGCACTATTATTATCTATTTCTAATAGGTAGTACAATAAAGTCAAATGACCACCAAGCCACACAAAGAACTGAACTTATTGTAACATGTATTGCGAATTAACGTCATCAAACGTGAACGTGTATCCCACTGTTTACTGAAATATTCACATAACTATAATTCATTACATTTGTTTTTCGTAACAATGTAATCAATGACTTTCATTCACTTTTAAGTAAATTGTTCGTGTTTCAAATCTTGACTAGAAGGACTTTGTAAAAACAGAGATTTAGTCTGCACAAGAAAATGCAATGTAGAAGCAGCGACACCACCTCTGTAACAACAGAAGACAAGAGCCAGGAAACAGATCGTTTGTTAAGGAAATCAACGCGTATTTATATATATTTCATTTACATTATTAGAGCTTATTCAGGCAGACAAACACAGTCTTCTGATTGGTTGTTTCTTACAGAAAGTTGCCTATGCATCTCTTTGTGACTGTTTCTTGAATGTCAGATAATCTATACGCCAAGTCTGCTGTGATTGGTTGTTGAATCAGTCTTGTTCATATTTTCTCACCACCAATATTTGCGACATACCCATTGACGTAAAATGCTGTCTACCATTTTTGGCTAGCCTGCTCTCACCACACCTCTAATTCCATATTTTATAGGACTGGGACACTAATTTGTAAGTATAAACTTTTCTGTCAGATATTCATTGAAACCACTCTGACATTAAGTCACATCAGCTCTAAAGAACCAGCCTTAGAAGACAACACAACATGGACATTAATATCCATTTTTCATTTACTAACTTGTGTCATAGTGGATAATGATATGAGTACCGGCTTGTCGATAACAGTACCATCCAATCCATTCTCGTCTCCTTTGTGTGTCTTTTAGAACCTTGAAAACAGGAGACAATTTACTTCCCTAAGAGATTCTATTTCAGTTTTTCTAACTCGAAACGTCAACAGTGATACATCCTGAAGAAATTAAAAAAGTTTAATAAACTTAAAAAGAAGTAGACTGGAAACACCCTGCTTATATTAGCAGTTCGCTCAAGTCCCAGAGCCAAGGCGTTAACACGATTTGTGTTTCCAAGCTAAAGCAGTATGAGTACACTATTGACGAACTTGTTTCGGAGCGAGCGAAAAGATCATTAGCATATAATCCATCTTGACCAGGATATTAACTAACTTGCTTTGAATCTTTCTCAACTAGTTATATAAGTCGGTAGTATATATTATGTGCTATTGATTGTCTTTGGCATATCAAATTGTTAAGTAAATCATGAGAAGACTTAAGACATGGCTCTGTATTTTGCAAGCACCTGGTCTATTACCAGAAAGTAGATCCATTCTGATAAAATTTTACTTCAAGAAGTGTTTAGATTGTTTTAAGTTACCTTTTGGTGTATAAACAGAACACCTAGTTTAATAGAATCACTGTTTCACTTGTAGAATTACCCTGTTAGAACCCTTTGTGCTATTAAAATAACTCAAAAGCTATTTACGCGCTCCAGATTTCATCTTCATTTATGACCCTACCATAAAGTTTAAAAAAGTAGTAATTCCTATCTACTATGTAGAAAGCTGTGCCTAGTTGTAAATTATGGATTGTAGCCAGGTTTAAGTATTCTTCTATTACTAGGTATTTATTCCTTTTAATGTACAACAGAACGACATTGCTCGTTCATGTGACTATTCTTCATTATTATTAGTAGTCATGTAACAATAGAAGGCAAGACACGGAAATCAAGGTATATATATATATATATTTGATTTACAGCTTGATTCCACACTGTATTTTCGGTACAAGTATGGAATTTTCAGCATGAATATCGGTAGCCCAAATTTTGCAGGCCGTCCATAGATATCAGGTGTGCGTCGGTGCGGGCTCGAACCCCGGACCATGTGCATGGTCGGCGAGAGTTCTAACCACTGTGCCACCGACGCACATATATATATATAGTTTATATTCGTTAACCAAACACTGGGCGCGTGATTTTGGTGTACATCAAACAACATGAAATAGAATGTTCAAATATACATAATATTCTTTTGTCAATATAGTATATAACCGTGGGATCTGTATTCTGTCTGTAACATCAAATGGAATGTCCAAATAGATATTTAGTATTCTGCTGCTACTGCAATATTGAACTGTGGTAATATTTGAGAATAATATTCTGTTGGCAGACATTGTCTGTATCACACCACCACAGTGGTATTCCTCATGCTCTATATGAATTTATACTCTAACTGAATCTCTTACTGGCAAAAGTAAACAATAGACACCATCTTCAGACAACCTTGAAAAAGCCAGTCAGATAGTCACAATCCTCGTTGCATGTGTCTCCTAGATTTGATTTCTGACTTCTCTGTGGAAAATGGGTTGATAGGGTGGACTAAAACATGTATATGTGGAGGGATAATGGCTCTGAAAAAGTATTGCCCGGCTTTCGAGTGGAACCCGAAAGGGAGGCGGCGAGTTGGTCGTCCAAGGGTGACTTGGAGGAGGTCATGCGAGGAGGAGATGAAAGCATGTGGACAGACCTGGAGCAGGGTGAAAAAGTTGTCAGAAAACCGAAGGCAATGGAGGTGCGCAGCTGAAGCCCTATGTTCCTCTAGGAACTAAAGGATACAATAATAATAAATAATAATAATTGGTGGTTATGCATTCACATTCAGCTACTTTATATAAGGAAGTCTGTAAAAGTTGGCAAGTCGTACATAATATTGATTTTTTTAGACACTTTCTTCTGAAAGTCAAAACTCTCTATTAGTAGTACATTGAGTATATGCGACCAGTATCTGCTACAGCTGTATAAATACAGAATACACTGGTTTGATATGTCTATCTACTAGAAAATATGGCCAGTTTTTGCAGCATATCAGAGACATATACCTTGTATAATTCACTTTTATTACACATATATCATAGGCACTTTTTTATAAATT